GGAGTGACACAGGTGTGACACAGGTGTGACACAGGTGTGACACCTGTCATCACTGTCACTAACACCCCTGCCGCAGGTACTGGTACCACAGCTTGTAACTGGGGACACAGGAGTGACACAGGTGTGACACAGGTGTGACACAGGAGTGACACAGGTGTGACACCTGTCACCAGTGTCACTGACACCCCTGCCGCAGGTACTGGTACCACAGCTTGTAACTGGGGACACAGGAGTGACACAGGTGTGACACAGGTGTGACACAGGTGTGACACAGGTGTGACACCTGTCACCAGTGTCACTGACACACCTGCCGCAGGTACTGGTACCACAGCTTGTAACTGGGGACACAGGAGTGACACAGGTGTGACACAGGTGCGACAGGCGTGACACAGGTGTGACACCTGTCACCAGTGTCACTGACACACCTGACACCCCTGCCGCAGGTACTGGTACCACAGCTTGTAACTGAAATGGGGACACACCTGTCACACCTGTCACCTGTCACACCTGTCACCAGTGTCACTGACACACCTGACACACCTGATACAGGTACTGGTACCACAGCTTGTAACTGAAATGGGGACACACCTGTCACACCTGTCACACCTGACACCCCTGCCGCAGGTACTGGTACCACAGCTTGTACCTGGGGACACAGGTGTGACACCTGTCATCAGTGTCACTGGCACCCCTGACAGCCCCGACATCCCTGAAACAGGTACTGGTACCACAGCTTGTAAATGGGTGTATCCCATGCCCCCCGTACCTGCCGGGCAGCTCCCTCAGGGCTCTCAGGTGTGCCCAGGTGCCCCCAGGTGTGCCGTACCTGCCGGACAGCTCCCTCAGGGCTCTCAGGTGTCCCCAGGTGTGCCCAGGTGTGCCCATGCCCCCCAGGTGTGCCCAGGTGCCCACAGGTGTGCCCGTACCTGCTGGGCAGCTCCCTCAGGGCTCTCAGGTGTGCCCAGGTGTGCCCATGCCCCCCAGGTGCCCCCAGGTGCCCCCAGGTGTGCCGTACCTGCCGGGCAGCTCCCTCAGGGCTCTCAGGTGTGCCCAGGTGTGCCCATGCCCCCCAGGTGCCCCCAGGTGTGCCCAGGTGTGCCGTACCTGCCGGGCAGCTCCCTCAGGGCTCTCAGGTGTGCCCAGGTGTGCCCATGCCCCCCAGGTGCCCCCAGGTGTGCCGTACCTGCCGGGCAGCTCCCTCAGGGCTCTCTCGTAGATCTGGTTGAGGCGGGGGCGGGGCCCGCGCTGCCGGGCCTGCGCGTAACGGAGCCACCCCCGCACCGAGAACGGGTTCCGGAGCAGCTCCTCCTCGTGCTGCACCTCCTCCTCCTCCTGCATGGGGGACAATGAGAGACAATTGGGGACACTCAGGGACATTGGGGACATTGAGGGGACAGCTCCTCCTCGTGCTGCACCTCCTCCTCCTCCTGCATGGGGGACATTGGGGACACTGAGAAACATTGGGGACATTGAGGGGACAGCTCCTCCTCGTGCTGCACCTCCTCCTCCTCCTGCATGGGGGACAATGAGAGACAATTGGGGACACTCAGGGACATTGGGGACATTGAGGGGACAGCTCCTCCTCGTGCTGCACCTCCTCCTCCTCCTGCATGGGGGACAATGAGAGACAATTGGGGACACTCAGGGACACTGGGGACATTGAGGGGACAGCTCCTCCTCGTGCTGCACCTCCTCCTCCTCCTGCATGGGGGACAATGAGAGACAATTGGGGACACTCAGGGACATTGGGGACATTGAGGGGACAGCTCCTCCTCGTGCTGCACCTCCTCCTCCTCCTGCATGGGGGACATTGGGGACACTGAGAAACATTGGGGACATTGAGGGGACAGCTCCTCCTTGTGCTGCACCTCCTCCTCCTCCTGCATGGGGGACAATGAGAGACAATTGGGGACACTCAGGGACATTGGGGACATTGAGGGGACAGCTCCTCCTCGTGCTGCACCTCCTCCTCCTCCTGCATGGGGGACAATGAGAGACAATTGGGGACACTCAGGGACATTGGGGACATTGAGGGGACAGCTCCTCCTCGTGCTGCACCTCCTCTTCCTCCTGGGGGGACATTGGGGACAGTCAGGGACATTGGGGACATTGAGGGGTTCCTGAGCAGCTCTTCCTCGTGTTGGACCTCCTCCTCCTCCTGCACTGGGGACATTGAGGGGACGTTGGGGACACACACAGGGACAGCTCTTCCTCGTGCTGCACCTCCTCTTCCTCCTGCATGGGGGACAATTGGGTCATTGAGAGGACATTGGGGTCGTTGGGGACATTGAGGGGACAATTGGGTCATTGAGAGGTTCCTGAAGAGCTCTCCCTCATGTTGGACCTCCTCTTCCTCCTCCATTGGGGACAATTGGGGACATTTGGGTCATTGAGGGGTTCCCGAGCAGCTCCTCCTCATGCTGCACCTCCTCCTCCTCCTGCATGGGGGACATTGAGGGGACATTGAGGGGACATTGGGGACACACACAGGGACAGCTCTGCCTCGTGCTGCACCTCCTTTTCCTCCTGCATTGGGGACAACTGGGGACATTGAGGGGACAGGAGACACTCAGGGGACACACACAGGGACAGATCTTCCACCTCCTCTTTCTCCTGAGGGTACAATTGGGGACATCGAGGGGACATTGGGGACACTGAGAGACATTGGGGACACACACAGGGACGGCTCTGCCTCGTGCTGCACCTCCTCTTCCTCCTGAGGGGACATTGAGGGGACACTGAGGGGACACTGAGGGGACACTGAGGGGACACGTCCTCCTTCCTCTCCTGAGGGGACATGGGGACACTCAGGGGACACTCTGGGGACAGGGGACAGCTCCTCCTCATCCTCCTGGAGGGACACAGGGACAGGGGACAGAGGACACAAGGACATGGACAGGGGACAGGGGACAGGGACAAGAAAAAGTGAGACAGAGGGGACAGGGACAGGGGACAGGGCCAGGGGACAGGGATGGGGACAGGGACAGGGGACACACAGCACAGGGCACTTCCTCCTGGGCTCATGGGACACAGGGGGGACACAGGGGGCAGCAAGGGACAGCAGAGGGGACACAGGGGACACAGAAGGGACACAGAGAGGGACAAAGGGACGAGGATGGGGGGAGGGGATGGGACAGAAGCCAGCGGTGACAGGGACAGAGAGAGAGGGGACAGGGACAGGGATGGGGACAAGGACAGAGAGGGGACAGGGACATGGAGGGGACAGGGATGGGGATGGGGACAGGGACAGAAAGAGAGGGGACAGGGATGGGGACAAAGATACAGAGGGGACAGGGACAAAGAGGGAACAGGGACATGGAGGGGACACAGAGGGGACAGTGAAATGAAGGAGACAGGGACAGAGAGGGGACAGGGAGGGGACAGGGAGGGGACAGGGAAGGGACAGGGACAAGGAGCGAGGCACAGAGTGCCAGCAGGAGGTGACAGAGCCTGGGGAGACAGGGACAGGGTGACACAGGGACACAGGGACAGGGCTGGGGACAGGGGGGACACAGATGTGGGAAATGCTGGGGACAAAGGGCCTGGAGAGGGACATGGGGACAGGGACAGAAAGGGGACAGTGACAGGGATGGGGACAAAGACACTGAGGGGACAGGGACATGAAGGGGACAGGGATGGGGATGGGGACAGGAAGGGGACAGGGATGGGGACAAGGACACTGAGGGGACAGGGACATGAAGGGGACAGGGACACAGAGCGAGACACAGGGCACCAGCAGGAGGTGACAGGGACAGGGTGGCACGGAGACACGGGGACACAAGAGGGGACAGGGACACAGGGACACAGAGGGGACAAGGACAGGGTGGCACAGGGACATGGGGACACAAGACAGGACAGGGACACAGAGACAAGAATGGGGACAGGGACAGGAACAGGGACATGGGGACAGGGACATGGGGACATGAGAGGGGACAGGGACACAGAGGGAGGCACAGGGCACCAGCAGGAGGTGACAGGGACAGGGGTGACAGGGACATGGGGACACAAGAGGGGACAGGGACACAGAAATGTGGTTGGGGGAGGGGTTGGGGACAGGGACACCAGAGGGGACAAGGATGGGACAGGGATGGGGACAGGAGGTGACAAAATGTGACAGGAGGAGGCAGAAGGGAACGGGGGGTGACAGGAATGGATAGGAGGGGACAAGGGGTGACAAGAGCTAACAGGAGGTGACAGAAGGGGACGGGAGGGAACAGGGGGTGACACGAGGGGACAGGAGGGGACAAAACGTCTCAGGAGGAAACAAATTGTGACAGGAAGGGAAAAGGGGGTGACAAGAAGTGATAGAGCTGGACAGGAGGGGACAGGGGGTGACAAAATGTGACAGGAAGGGACAGGAATGGACAAGAGGTGACAAAAGGGATCAGGAGGTGACAGGAGGTGACAGGGAGTGGCAAGAGGGGACAGGAATGGACAGGAGGTGACAAAATGTGACAGGAGGGGACAGGGGGTGACAGGAAGGGGCAAGAGCTGACAATGGGGACAGAGAGGAACAGGGGGTGACAGGGGGTGACAGGGGGTGACAGGAGGGGACAGGAGGTGACACGAGGCCCAGCCCCGCACTCACAAAGCACAGCTCGGGCCGCTCCGGGCCCGGCCCCGCTCCGGGATCCGCCGCCGCTGCGGGCCCCGCTTCCCGCGCCGGCCCCGCTCCCTCCATCGCTCCCGGTTCCTCCATGGCTCCCGGCTGCTGCTGTTCCGGGCCGGGCCCCGCTCCCGTTCCCGCTCCCGTTCCCGCTCCCGTTCTCGCTCCCGGCGGCTCCTCCCGCGCCGCCATCGCCGCCTCAGCCGCCGCCATTTCCCCGCGCTGCTCCCTCACTTCCGGCGCGCCGCACGCACTTCCGGCGCTTCCACTTCCGTCCTTCCCGCGCTCGCTTCTCATTGGTCCATCGCTCCTTCGCTCCGCCCCCTCAGCGCGGCGCTCAGCCAATAGAGTGTGGCGGTGCTGGAGGTGCGGCCAATGGGGATTGGCGGTGTTGCGGGGTTGGTGGAGGCGGAAGTGCGAGGGGCCTGGAGGAGTCATGGGGGTGAAGTTGGAGATCCTGAGGGTGCGAGGGGCGGGAACGGGATAACGGGAACGGGAATGGGATAACGGGAACGGGATAAAGAAATAATGGGATAAAGGGATAATGGGAATGGGAATGGGGATGGGGAATGGGGAATGGGAATGGGGAATGGGAATGGGAATGGGAATGGGGATGGGGATGGGAATGGGAATGGGGGATGGGGAATGGGGAATGGGAATGGGGGATGGGGATGGGGATGGGGATGGGGATGGGGAGGGGGATGGGGGGCTAACAGTAATGGGCGGGGCAGGAACGGGGGACATTGGTGACCCAGGAGGTGACGTAGATGCGACAGCGATGACTCCAAGGTGACACACAGATGACACTCAGGTGACACAGGTGTGACACAGGTGTGACACAGGCTGGGTGACACTGGTGCCCCTGTCGCAGATGTGTCTATCTGTTTGTCCAGGTGACACACAGATGACACTCAGGTGACACAGGTGTGACACAGGCTGGGTGACACTGGTGCCCCTGTCGCAGATGTGTCTATCTGTTTGTCCAGGTGACACACTGATGACACTCAGGTGACACAGGTGTGACATAGGCTGGGTGACACTGGTGCCCCTGTCCCACGTGTCTCTCTGTTTTTCCCCATGGTCGGGTTCTGGGTCTGGGGGGTGACACAGGTGACAGGGTAGGTGACACACAGGTGATCCGGGGGACACAACTGTGACACAGATGACTCCCAGGTGACACCCAGGTGACACAGGTGTCCCTGTCCCAGATGTTCCTGTACCTGTCCTTCCCTGTGGCCGTGTTCTGGGTTTGGGAGGTGACACAGGTGTAACACAGATGGCACACAGGTGACAGGGTAGGTGACACCCAGGTGACACAGGTGTGACACAGGTGTGACAGGTGGCACGCAGGTGACACAGGTGTCATTGTCAGATGTTCCTGTACCTGTCCTTCCCCGTGGCCGTGTTCTGGGTCTCCAACCAGGCCGAGCTCTTCCAGCGTCACGTGATCGACCGTAAGGTGGGCGGGGACACCTGGGGACACCTGGGATGGCTGGGGACACCTGGGACACCCCTGGGGACACCTGGGACACCTGGGATGGCTGGGGACACCTGGGACACCCCTGGGGACACCTGGGACACCCGGGATGGCTGGGGACACCTGGGACACCCCTGGGGACACCTGGGACACCTGGGATGGCTGGGGACACCTGGGACACCCCTGGGGACACCTGGGGACACCCCTGGGGACACACCTGGGACACCTGGGGATGGCTGGGGACACTTGGGACACTGCAGGGACACACCTGGGGGTGGCTGGGGACATCTGGGGACACACCTGGGGACACCCCTGGGGACACCTGGGACACCTGGGGAAACACCTCGGGATGCCTGGGGATACCTGGGACACCCCTGGTGACACCTGGGATGGCTGGGGACATGTGGGGGACACCTGGGGACACACCCTGGGACACCTGAGGATGCTGCAGGGACACCCCTGGGGATACCTGGGGACACTTGGGGAGACCTGGGGACAGCTGGGCACACCCCTGGGACACCTGGGGACATCTAGGGACACCTGGGGGTAGCTGGGGACACCCCTGGGACACCCTGGGGACACCCTGGGGACACCTGGGACATTGTGGGGACACCTGGGATGGCTGGGGATACCCTGGGGACACCTGGGGACAGCTGGGATGGCTGGAGACACGTGGGGGACACCCCTGGGACACCCAGGGACATCTGGGGACACCCCTGGGGACATCCTAGGGACACACCTGGGACACCTGGAGGACACCTGGAACAGCTGGGGACAGCTGGGACACCCTGGGGACACGTGGGGACACCCCTGGGACACCTGGGGACCCTTGGGGACATGTGGGACACTGCAGGGACACACCTGGGGACCCTTGGGGACACCTGGAGGACACCTGGGGACACACCTGGGGACCCTTGGGGACACGTGGGGACACCCCTGGGACGCCTGGGGACCCTTGGGGACACGTGGCACCCTCGGTGTCCCCGCTGTCCCCTCCCCTGACTCGCTCTCTCTTTGCAGAGGGAGATTTTCCCGCCGGACACCCCGGAACGGGTGAGACCCCAACGTCCCCAGCTGTCCCCAATGTCCCCAATGTGTCCTCAGTCTGTCCCCACCGTGTCCCCAACTGTCCCCAATGTCCCCAACTGTCCCCAATGTCCCCAGTGTGTCCTCAGTCTGTCCCCACCGTGTCCCCAACGTCCCCAACTGTCTCCAATGTCCCCTCGTGTCCCTGCTGTGCCCTGACCCTGTCCCCATCCCTGTCCTTGTCCCCATCTCTGTGTCTTACCCTGTCCCCTCACTGTCCCTGTGTCCCTGTCCCCTCACTGTCCCTGTGTCACTGTCCCTGTGTCCCTGTCCCCTCAGTGTCCCTGACCCCTCAGTGTCCCTGTCACTGTCCCTGTCCTTATGTCACTGTCCCTGTCCTTGTGTCACTGTTCTTGTGTCGCTGTCCCCTCACTGTTCCTGTCACTGTTCCTTGTCCCTGTGTCTTTGCCCCTGTGTCCCTGTCCCCGTGTCACTGTCATTGTCCCTGTGTCCCTGTCCTCTCACTGTCACTGTCCCCGTGTCACTGTCCCCGTGTCACTGTCCCTGTCACTGTCATTGTCCCTGTCCCTGTGTCACTGTCCCTGTGACTGTCCCTGTGTCCCTGTCCCTGTCTCTGTGTCACTGTCCCTGTGTCACTGTCACTGTCTCTGTGTCCCCGTGTCCCTGTCCCTGTGTCACTGTCCTTGTCCCCTCAGTGTCCCTGTCCTCTCAGTGTCTGTGTCACTATCCCTGTGTCCCTGTCCCCTCACCATCCCTGTGTCACTGTTCCTGTGTCCCTGTGTCCCTGTCCCTGTGCCACTGTCCCTGTGTCACTGTCCCTGTCCCTGTGCCACTGTCCCTGTATCCCTGTCCCTGTGTCCCTGTCCCTGTGCCACTGTCCCTGTGTCACTGTCCCTGTCCCTGTGTCCCTGTCCCTGTGTCACTGTGTCCCTGTCCCTGTGTCCCTGTCCCCTCACTGTCTCTGTGTCACTGTCCCTGTGTCACTGTCCCTGTCCCCTCAGCGCCAGGCCATGGCTGAGATGAAGCAGCGGCTGCGGGAGAGGAAGGGGACCCAGGCCTGAGGGACAGCGGGGACACGGTGACACCGTGGGGACACCATGGGACACACGGCCACCATGGGGACACAGGCCTGAGGGACAGCGGGGACACGGCGGTGACACCGTGGGACTCACGGCCACCAGGGGACACGGACGCGAGGGGACAAAGAACACGTGGTCACCAGGGGACACGGCAGTGACACCAAGGACAGCCTGCCACCGTGGGACACTGTGGTGACACCAGGGGACACGGCCACCGTGGGGACACGGGCGTGCGGTGACACCGTGGGACACACGGCCACCGTGGGACACGGCGGTGACAGCAGCCGATGGCGTTGCTGTCACCCTGTTGGTGGCAGGGGACAGTGGCAGTGTCCTGGTGCCATCACCATGGCAGCGTTGGTGACAAAGGAGACAGTGACAACAGCTGGTGGCATCGATGGCGTTGCTGTGACAGCGTTGGTGACAGGGGAGGGCAGCTGATGTCACACAGTGTGACAGCGTTGGTGACAGTGACAGCAGCCGGTGTCACTCACTGTGGCTGTGTTGGTGACAAAGGGGACAGTGGCAGCAGCCGGTGTCACACCCTGTGGCTGTGTTGGTGACAGTGTTGGTGACAGGGGAGAGCAGCTGGTGTCACTCGCTGCGGCTGTGTTGGTGACAAAGGGGGCAGTGACAATGGCATCAATGGCATTGCTGTGACAGTGTTGGTGACAGAGGAGACAGTGACAGCAGCTGATGTCGCACAGTGTGACCGTGTTGGTGACAGTGACAGCAGCCGGTGTCACTCACTGTGGCAGTGTTGGTGACAGAGGGGACAGTGACAATGCCTGATGGCATCGCTGTGACCATGTTGGTGGCAGGGGACAGTGGCAGTGTCCTGGTGCCATCACCGTGACCGCGTTGGGGACAGGGGACAGTGACAGCGCCCAATGGCGTCACTGTGGCCGTGTCGGTGACACAGGGGACAGCGGTTGGTGTCACACGCTGTGACCACGTTGGTGACAGTGGCAGCAGCCGGTGTCACTGTGGTGTTGGTGACAGAAGGGACAACAGCCGGTGTCACACGCTGCGAGGGTGTTGGTGACAGTGTTGGTGACAGAGGGGACAGTGACAGCAGACAGTGTCACACCTGTGACCTGTTGGTGACAATGACAACAGCACCAGCTGTCACCTGCTGTGGCCATGTTGATGACCGGTGACAATGGCAGTACCCGCTGTCACTCACTGTGAGTGTATCGGTGACAGTGTTGGTGACAATGTTGGTGACAGAGGGGACAGGGACAGTGACAGCAGCTGGTGTCACACAGTGTGACCGTGTTGGTGACAATGACAGCAGCCGGTGTCACTCGCTGTGTCCCTGTTGGTGACAGTGTTGGTGACAGAGGGGACAGCAGCCGTGTCAGTCACTGTGGCCGTGTCGGTGACAGCGTTGGTGACAATGCCAACACCCTCTGTCCCTCGCTGTCACTGTGTTGGTGACACTGCTGGTGACAGGTGACAATGCCAGCCCCCTCTGTCCCTCGCTGTCACCGTGTTGGTGACACTGCTGGTGACAGGTGACAGTGCCAGCACCCGCTGTCGCTCGCTGTGTCCGTGTTGGTGACAGTGTTGGTGGCAGTGCTGGTGACAGGTGACAGTGCCAGCCCCCTCTGTCCCTCGCTGTCCCCGCTGGTGCCATCCGTGGCCAGGGCTGTGCCCGTGTGGGTGGCACAGGGGACGCGTGTCCTGCCCGATGCCACCACGGCCACGTGGCCACGCCCGTGTCCCTGTGCTGCTGGGGACACGTGTGTGACACGTGTGACACGTGTGACAGCTGTGACAATGTGTGTGTGACAATATGCGTGTGACACGTGTGACAATGTGTGTGTGACACGTGTGACAATGACAATGCGTGTGTGACACGTGTGACAATGTGTGTGTGACACGTGTGACGTGTGTGTGACGTGTGTGTGACGTGTGTGACACACGTGACAGCTGTGACACCGCGTGTGTGACACATCGGGGACACGTTTGGGGACACGTGCCACCCCCGGCTGTCCCCACCCCAATAAACGGCGCTGGCACTGCCCGCAGGGTGGCACCAGGGCGTCCCCAGGGTGGCACCGCCGTCCCTTGGTGCCACCCGTGCCCCTCGGTGTCCCCCGGTGCCACCCCCGCGGGCGTCCCGTGTCCCTCAATGTCACCGGAGTGCTGCGGGTGTTCCTTGGTGCCACCCCTGGTGCCATCCCCGGCCTGGTGCCGCCCTTGGTGCCACCCCCAATGCCATTCCCCCGTTGCCACCCCCGATGCCACCCCCAGAGGTGTCAGTGCCACCCCCCTGTTCAGTGCCACCCCCCAGTGCCATCCTCCCGGTGCCACCCCCATGTCCCCAGGGTCCCCACGGGTGCCACCCCTGGTGCCAGCCCCAGTGCAAACCACTGCCCAGTGTCACCCCTGGTGCCACCCCCGTGTCCCCAATGTCCCCATGGGTGTCACTCACTCTCGGTGCCACCCCCAGAGGTGTCGGTGCCACCCCCTTGCCCAATGCCACCTCCGGTGCCACCCCCTGTCCCCAGTGTCCTCACGCTGTGCCAGCCCCGGTGCCACCCCCATGTCCCCAATGCCCCTATCAATGCCACCCCCTGTCCCCAATGTCCCCCCCGGTGTCCCCGCTCGGTGCCACCCCCAGAGGTGTCGGTGCCCCCCATGGTGCCACCCTCTGTCCCCAATGTCCCCATCAATGCCACCCAATGTGCCACCCTGGTGTCCTCGCTCTGTGCCACTCTCAGTGCGCCCCCGTTGTCCCCAGTGTCCCCGCTCTGTGCCCCCCCTTGGTGCCCACCCCCGATGTCCCCATGGGTGTCACTCACCCCCGGTGCCACCCTCAGTGCCACCCCCGTCCCCACTGTCCCACCCCCGGCGTCCCTGCTCTGTGCCATCCCCAGTGCCACCCCCAGAGGTGTTGGTGCCACCCTCAGTGCCCCCCAGTGTCCCTGCTCGGTGCCACTCTCAGTGCCACCTCCTGTCCCCACATGTCCCCGCTCTGTGTCCCCCCGGTGCCACCTCAATGCCCCCCATTGTCCCGCTCGGTGCCACCCCGGTGCCCCCCTCAGTGCCCCCCAGTGTCGGTGCCACCCCGGTGCCCCCCTCAGTGCCCCCCAGTGTCGGTGCCACCCTGGTGCTCGGGCCTTTATTGGGGGCACAGCGGGACCGGGGGCTCCGGGGGTGTCCGGGAATTTCGGGGGGTCCTGGGGGTGTCCGGGGCTCTCAGTCCTGCGGGCACAGCGGGGCGGGCACTCAGGGGGTGCCCATGGGGCGCCCCCAGCCCCAAATGCCCGCCCTGGGTGTCCCCAAATGCCCCCAGTGCCCCCCAGGGTGCCCCTCCCCCGCCAATGGCACCGCTGGGACCCCTCCCCAAATTCCCGGGGCTCTCACAGACCCCGCCGTGCCCACCTGTACCCCCCCCAGTGCCCCCCTGTGCCCACCCCCCGTGCCAGAGCCCCCCCCGGTGCCCACCATGCCCACCTGTACCCCCCCCGTGCCAGAGCCCCCCCCAGGTACCGCCCCGTGCCCTCCCCGTGCCCACCTGCGTGCCCCCCGTGCCGAAGCCGGGCAGCCTGGGCACGGGCAGTGTCTGTGCCCCCCCAGGTACCCGCTCCGTGCCCACCTGCGTGCCCCCCGTGCCGAAGCCGGGCAGCCTGGGCACGGGCAGGCGCTGCTCGTCCATCCTGCGGCCCTGCGTGCTCGCCACCATGTCCAGCAGCGATGCCAGCTCGGGGGGGGGCGGCTCCGACGCCCCTCCTGTGCCAGGGCAGGGGGCACCGTCAATGGGGGCACCCATGGGCACCTCGGGGGGGGGGCACGGTCAATGGGGGCACCCATGGGCACCTCGGGGGGGGGCACCGTCAATGGGGGCACCCATGGGCACCTCGGGGGGGGGCACGGTCAATGGGGGCACCTCATGGGCACCTCGGGGGGGGGCACGGGCACAGGGGGCACACAGGGGGCACAGGGTCACAGGGGGGGCACGGTCACAGAGGGCACAAGGTCACCAGGGGCACACAGGGGGTACCCGGGGGGGGCACCCAGGGTCAGCCATGGGCACCCTATGGGTACCTCGGGGTCAACGTGGGCAGCTCAGGTCACCAGGGGGCACCTCATGGGGCACCCATGGGCACGCCCGGGTCACCAGGGTGGTACCAGGGGCACCCAGGTCCCAGGGGGCACACAGGGGGCACACATGGGGCACCTCGAGGACATCTGGGTCACCAGGAGCACCCATGGGACACCAGGGACATCCATGGGGCACCGTGGGCACCCTGGAGTCACCAGGGACACACATGGGCACCCAGGGGACACCCAGGGGACACCAGGGACATCATGGGGCACCAGGAGCACCCATGGGGCACCCAGGGGCACCTTGGGGACCCTGGGGTCACCATGGGCATCTCGGGGACCCTCACCCGTGCCCACCCTGGTGCCCCCATCGTGCCCATCCCCGGTGTCCCCTGACCCACCCGCCGGTGTCCACTCAGCCGTGCCACCCCCTCTGTCCCCTCTGTCCCTGTGTCCCCCTGTACTGCATTTCCCCTCCGTGTCCCCTCACCCTCGTGTCCCCCACGTTGTTCCCTCTGTCCCCTCCCTGTCCCTCTGTCCCCTCCCTATCCCTCTGTCCCCTCTGTCCCCCTGTCCCTGTCCCCCTGTCCGTCGGTCCCTGTCCCCCTGTCCCTGTCCCCCTGTCCCCCTGTCTGTCCCCCCGTCCGTCGGTCCGTCCGTCTCTCACCGCTGCCCCCCCCCAGGCTGCAGCGCTGTTCGTCCATGCGCGTTCCCTGCACGGAGCTCAGCAGCGAGAAGAACCCCTCCTGTTCTGGGGAGCCCCCGTCCGGGGACCCCCCTTGTGGGGACCCCCCCTGTGGGGAAAACGTGTCAGGGAGCCCCCCAAAACAAACAGGGAACCCCCAAAACAGGGAACCCCCAAACCAGGGAACCCCAAAACAGGGAACCCCCAAAACCAACCAGGGAACCCCAAAACGGGGAACCCCCGAACCAGGGAACCCCCAAAAACAACCAGGGAACCCCAAAACAAACAGGGAACCCCTCTTGTTCTGGCGACACCCCCTCTGGGGACCCCCCTTGTGCCGGGGACCCCCCCTGTGGGGAAAACGTGTCAGGGACCCCCCCAAAACAAACAGGGAACCCCAAAGCAGGGAACCCCATACACGGAACCCCTCCTGTTCTGGGGAGCCCCCTTCTGGGGACCCCTGCTGTTCCGGGGACCCCCCCTGTGGGGAAAACGTGTCAGGGCCCCCCCCCCAAAACAGGGACACCTCCAAACAGGGAACCCCAAAACAAACAGGGAACCCCCCCCAAACCAGGGACCCCCTCCTGTCCCGGCCCCCCCCCCCCCCCGCTCTGGAGACCCCCCCCCTCAAGGGCAGCCCCGCCCCCGGTGACCCCCAAATGTGGGGGGCGCCCTCGGTGATAGCCCGGGGTACCCCAAACCCCCCTGGGATACCCCAAAACCCCCCGGGGTACCCCGAACCCCCCTGGGATAGCCCAAACCCCTCGGGGTACCCCGAACCCCCCTGGGATACCCCAAAACCCCCCGGGGTACCCCGAACCCCAAACCCGACCCATGGGGTGTCCCCTGTGCCCCTCTGAGACCCCAAACCCCCTCAGGGGCACCCCCAGACCCACAAAACCCCATCCAGAGGCACCCCCAGACCCCCAAACCCCCCCGGGGATCCGCCCGGACCCCCCGAGACCCCAAAACCCCACCCGGGATCCCCCCAGACCCCAAATCCCCCTGGGGATCCCCCCAGACCCCCCAAACTCCCCCCTGTGCCCCCCCCAGACCCCAAACGCCCCTCAGGGGCACCCCCGAACCCCCCCAGACCCCCCAAACCCCATCCAGGGACACCTCCGAACCCCCAAAATCCCGCCGGGGATACCCCAACCCCTCCTCAGGGGTACCCCCCAAATCCCCCCTCCAGGGGCACCCCCAGACCCACAAAACCCACCCAGGGGAGGTCCCGGACCCCCAAACCCCCCCGGGGGATATCCCGAACCCCCCAAGAATAACCCCGAACCCCCAAACTCCCTGCAGGGGTGCCCCCTGTGCCCCCCGAGACCCCAAACCCTCCCCACCCAGGGGTCCCCCCAGACCCCCCTGTGCCCCCCCAGACCCCCAAACCCCACCCAGGGGTATCCCCACACCCCAAACCCCCCCAGGGTACCCCCAAACCCCCCCAGACCCCCCAAACCCCTCAGGGGTCCCCCCAAATCCCCCCCCGTGCCCCCCGTTCCCCGCTCACCGCGCCGCGCTCGGGCTCGGAGCCCCCCGGGGCCGCCATGGCGGGTGGGGGGAGCGGCCCCGAGGGGCCTCTTATGGACA